TCTCTCTCTCTCTCTCTCTCTCACACACACACACACATTTTTTTTCCGCTTCAGCCCACTAAAGAAGGTGATATGAGCATCCCCTTTAGAATAAAAACGGAAAACGAAAACGGATGGCAGAGTCACACAGGAGTATATATCTACAATAGACAAACACGATGGTTCAGTTAGGCAAAGAGCAGCACAGGCAAGGAAAAAAAAAAGCAGAGTCATCATACCTTGAGCAACCTGCAAGTATTTTGCAGCTGTTCCCTGTCATCCATGTTTGAATCCATGCTTGTACCGGGTTCAAGCCACTCACGATCACTATTATGATGATCGGTACAACTGTGGGGTCCTTGATGAGGAAGGCGAGCAGCAGGTTGACCTTGACAACCACCCACCACCACTCCTACCGGTAGCGCCATATTGTCACTCGCCATGTGATCTTCCCTCTGCATGTTCTTGCATCAGCTTTAACAGCAAAACAATGCCCTGTGGTTGATCACATCACATCACGTCATGAACGTATTACGTGATGATTGCCTGTCCTCCTGAAGTGGCCAATTTCCATATCCCGTGCCTCTTCAGTACCCTGCACACACTTTCAGTTCTCTGCAGTTCACATGACATACATGGACAGCATCCCGTCAGCTCCCATTCATTTGGCCGTGGTTGACGAGATAAGCGATTTGTGTTGATGTCAACAATCCTCATCGTTTACGTTTCATTTGTTTCTGATCTTCATGTGTTTGCTAGTTTTGCCTACCGTCTTCACCCGAATAGAACGCCTGTCGCCCAGTCATTATAGCTGTATTTGGTACAATTTTCAGTCCAAATACAGTGATAATGACCGGGCGTTCTATTCGGGTGAAGACCGTAGTGACTTGCTTGCTTGCTTCCTTGCTGGCAGTAGGGATGGATGGATAGCTTACTGGATTTGCGTGCTCGCTCGGGGCCTTGCCAGCTCACTGGCTGGCTTGCTGGCTCGCTCGACGCTCGCTCTCTGGATTACTCATTTGGTTGCTTGGTGGCTCGCTGGCTCCTTCTTTGCTCCCTCCCTTGCTTGCATGTGTGCTGCTTATTTGATTCAAAATTCAAAATTCAAATTTCAAATAGATTACCCTAGACTTGATTTCTGTTGAATGTCCTTTCTGTTTCTTTTCTCTTCCTTTCTTTTTTTTTTTGGGGGGGGGGGGGGGGGGGGGGAGGATTTGGTCTATTTCTCGATCTGTGTGGATCATCCTTGTGCACAGGTCATGTGGATCTCCTCCTTTCTCTTTATGATTATGTTCTGAAGATATAACCTGAAAGGACAGCCAGCAGATGATGAAGGCTATCCGCTTACAAAAGTCCGCAAACAATGCCGACAAACTGTCAAACACACACGCATGCCCCTACAAAACATCAAAACAATTTGCGCAATCTTACACCTCTTCGGTTTTCTGTCGTTTTGTTTCTGTTCTGGTGGAAATGATTCTCTTGTTGCTGGGTTTTGTTTTGTTTTGTTTTGTTTTGTTTTGTTTGTTTGTTTGTTTGTTTAACTAAGCTACACTCTTCTCTCAATATACCGCAGACTACCTACCAGCACTCTCTCGATTGCTTGGTGGTCTACAAGTTTCCCTACTAGCCTGAGAGCCTTCTCTGTCTCAGCCTAACCCCCTGGTGAAGGATGGGAGGGAAGGGACCCTACCAAGATCAGCCACGGGGGGCAAGCCAACTATCTCAGCTTGTGAACCCGAAGTGCGTCCCAGGGGCCGCGGGGAATCGGACAGCCGAGTGAGGAATCGAGCCCACGGCCTTCTGAATGCCACACGCGTGCTTCTACCAACTGAGCTACTTCCCATTCCATTTGTATTTCCTTTTGCGTGAGTGTGTAAGTTGCCTGTGAGGGTGTCATACACGTTATGAGGCTAAGCAGGTCAGTAGCTTCCAGGGCAGCCAGGGACCCACCAGCCCTAAGAACTTGGGCTGTTGACGAAAAGGCCCGGCCAGTTTTGCAGAAGGTTGGGTGTCGCCAAGTCAGGCAGGTACCGGCCAGGCTGGTGGGGTCCCGGTAGGGCGCGGCTGGATCCGGATTCTTTCAGACGGCAGTGCCCACCAATCTGATGCAATCCTGGCCTCGTAGTATAGTGAGAGGCTGGTGCAAGAAGCACACCTCAGGTCTGACTTCCACTATGTCTTGCTAGCTATTGTATCAAACCAACGAGAGCCTAGTCGAGCCTGTTCCTCTCAGCTACTTGGCTGTCGGATTTGCATAAGTGCTGGAGCTGCTAGCATGGCTGCTTGATGTTGATCAAGCTAAAACCCGAAGCCCTAGTGAGCATTTTGCATGGTTATGTTGCTGTCGGTTGGTTTCACCATGATTCCCAGATACCGAAGCGCCTGTTCCCCTTCGGACCATGACAAGGGGGTAGGAAGATCCAGGGGTTGGGGGGGGCTCCCTTCTACTAACCACCAGCCTTCAGTATTTGCCCAGTTCAGTCGAAAGGCTTCCATAGCTCTGACAAGGGCTTGAAATGAAGAGTTGTTGGCCCGGATAAGGACGGTAAGATCATTTGCAAACATCAGGGCGGTGGGTAGGGCGAAGTCATGTAGAGGGTTGAAATTTTGTTCTGTGAGGCGGTCTATAGACGGGTCCTTGCGAAGAAAGGATGTTATGGCTTCCGTGATGAAGAGGAAGATAGGAGGTGCCAGCGGGTCTCCTTGGCGAACGGATCTCGAGATTGGGTATGTGTATTCTGTTGATCTAGACTCTTCCTGTGGCATCTCCGTAGAGTATTCTAACCCATTTTCTGAAATTGGGCCCTACTCCCGTCTTTCTCATGCAGTCGTGGAGAAAGTCCCAGTTGACCTGGTCGTAGGCTTTTTCGAAATCGGAGAAAAGAATTGCAACCTGCATGCGCTTTTCTGTGATTTTATTTGCTGCCTCGTTCAGGGTCGTCACGTTATCCAGTATGTACCGCCCCGGAATGAATCCTGATTTATCAATATGAAAACATTTGTCGGTGAGGTTTATGATCCTGTTGGCTAGTGTTTTTGCGAGGATCTTATACGGGGTTATGAGTAGTGAGATAGGTCTGTAGGTTTTTAGGTCCTCTCTTTCCCCTTTCTTATGGGGTAGTGAAACCACACTTGTGCTTAGGAGTTGGTCAAGGCCTCCCTTAGCTTTGCAATCAAGTTGAGAAGGTCGCTTCCTAGTATCGGCCAGAAATGGACCCATAATTCTTTCGAGAGGCCGTCGATACCTGGTGCTTCTCGTTCCCCATCTGGGTTAGGGCTACTATGAGTTCATCCACGGTAATTGGTTTGTCCATGCCTTCCGATTGTTCTTGTGAAGATTGTTCTGTCCAGGTGAGACATCATGTGTTGGTGGGCTGCAGTGGTTGTTGTGGAGGGTGGGGAGGGTATTTTGGATTCACAGAGGGTTGCGTAGAAGGCCCTAGCTACTTTTACCATGTCTGTGCCAACTGATTTGACCCTGGCTCGGTCGATTGGGTCTCTCAGTCTTTCGATCATATTGTTTTTAGCGTTAGCTTTGATTTTGGAGAAGAAGAACTTCGTCATTGATTCAATGAGTGTGTAGTCGGTCATCCTGGCATGCAGTTGTAGGCCTCTTATCTCCCATCTTCTCCACTCGTTTAGTTCCTCTTTTATAGATTTGAGTAAGTCGTAGTACAAGTCGTTGGTGGGGTCTATTGTGAGATTGGCCTCGGCTATGGTTATAGCTATTTGTAGTTCCTCTTTTCTGATTTTCCGTTCGGCTGCTATGCTTCTCCACTCGGCGGACCTCGTCTGTGTCAGATCCGCATAGCTGTCTATGAACCATTGATGTTTATCTTTTTGCTTTGTCTCGTTTTGTCTCATGAAAAGCCAGTTCCATTTGACAGCTTCTGTCAAGCGGTCTGTGGAGAGGAGGGAGTTATTCAGTCTGTAAAAACCCTGTCCCTTTTCCACCAAGGAATCCGAGTTCAGGAGCAGGTGGATTGGCTTGTGGTCTAGTCCCGTGAATGCTGCTGCAGGCAGGATTTTGGCCTCTTTGAATGTTCCTTGGAGGGATTCGGAGATCAAGAAGAAGTCGATCCAAGATAGCGATGTTCGGTTGTCCCAGTTTCTCTTGACCAGAGAGAAAGCTTTTGCAAGAGGGTGGTCCTGAAAAGGTTAATCAGTTCAAATTCCATCATGAAGTTCTGAATGTGGGTACCTGCTCGTGTGGGGCCGATCAGCACAGCCCAGGAGATACGATCCAGATTGGGGTCCAAGGTCGTGTTCCAATCCCCTGGTATGACAACTGGTTGGGGATTTGGGATGGACGGTTTGATGTTGTTGACGAACTTCAATCGTTCGTTTTCTGCGTTAGGCGCATATAAGTTGAGAATTCTCAGTTCATCTTCTTGCCATTTGATGTCGAGCCAAGACCATCTGCCATCTTCTGTGTCTCCTGCCCCATTCCGAATTTGTCCTTCTGCTAAGATTTTGGAGTATGAGGATTGCAGTGCCTCAAAAAAAAAAAAAAAAAAAAAAAAAAAGGAAGCACACCTCAGGTCTAGGCGGAAGCCAGGAGGCCGCGCGAGTGAGGTGCCCTGCAGCCAGCAGCACCTGCAATCGCAACATACAGCAAGCCATATCCCTGAGGAAGCGGAACGTGCCATCCTTAGTTGTGTGCCTGGGAGGAGAGAGAGACACAGAGAGGTGGCACTAGAAGGGAGTGATCCTTGGAGAAGAGGCAGACCGAAGGAGAGAAGTTGGCAAGCAACCTCCCTGGTGGTCGCCAAGAAGAGCTCCAGTGAGGCATTGGTGGTAGCAGCATTGCACTCTGTGGCACTGGAAATTTCATAGTGTAGGCCACGGTAAAGTTATAGAATAGGCAGTCAAGTTGGCTTCTGAAGAGACCACCACCTTTACGGGGGGATTATTATTGTTTGTTGCATTGATTGTTTCGGACGCGAAAAGGATCCCCCATATGCAAGTGTGATCACCTTTACGGCTTGATGATAAAACGCCTTTTATCATCAAGAGAATTCAACGGTGGTCAATTCTTGAGCAAGTGTGATCACTGCTTTGTGTTTTTCAGACTTTTTCTGCTAATTGCCTTGATCGCCGCCATATGCATACTGGCCAGGAGAGTTCATTGTCCTTGCGATCTTTTCTTTTCTTTTTTGTATTCAATTATGACTTGCTGGGGGAATAGGAACCGGACTGTTGCTCCCCAGAATGGCAGGAGCCAGAACCGAAAGGTTCTGTTAATTAAAAAAAAAAAAAAAAAAAAAGGGATAAGGATAGAAAACTGAATGGTGTATATACAATGCTTACTCTTGTCAAGCAAAGGAACGGATATGAAACTGATCGAAGCAGATACAGTACTTGATCATATGGCGATAATGACCGGGCGTTCTATTCGGGTACAGA